GCGGGAAGCCTGCTTCTCCCTCTCCCACTCCCCCTGCTTGTGTTCCCTCTCTCACTGTGTCTCTCTCTGTCAAATAAACAAACTCTTTAAAAAAAAAAACAAAAAAAAAAACTGAAGCTTATGGCTTGCTTGTTACTCCAGAGCATCTGGTGGAAGCTGGCATGTCCGGGCTAAATCCAGCCTACGGTTGGGTGTGATCTGTTCGCTCAGTTTAAAAAACTGGGTTAAGTAGTCACCATTTTAAAATTGGGAGGTGTCACACAAAAATCCAAACTTTCTGCTTTTTTTGAGGCCTGTAGTCTTGCAGGGCATCACCACAGGAAGCGGAGCAGGGGTTGTCTGCATCCACCCCAGTCCCATCCAGCTTGCTCCCTTCACTATGTGACCTGAAGGGTTAGTCACTGAAGGAAAATGAGCTTCAACCCAGGCTAGGGACACATCTGAATGCCTCTGCAAGTTATACTCCACTAAATTCCCTTTATTCCTCAGCACAAATTCATTTTAGACATTTTAACAGGTTTTCTATGATTTTACATTTTTCCTTAACATTTCTAGTTGACCACAGAAAATTCAACCACCTTGAAATACACAGAGGGAAGCAAATACACCTCTAGAAAGGGTATTATGGGACACCCACGACATCTTCTATTAGCTGCCAGATAAAGCACTCTGTTCCGACTCAAATACACACACGCACTGACCTGCGCCCACAGAGGGCTTCAGCTGGCCAACTGAGACACAGCTATAAACGCAACCACTATTTTTTTCTCCTAGTAGATGTTTTTCCCTCCTATGTTCTCATTTTGGTTGGTAATAGTCAAAGGGTAAAATGGCTGCTGATAAAAAGCAGAGTAAACTGGCTTCCCCCAAAGCAAAGGTGGATGAACCTACATAACGAGCTGCAATTTCCTTTTCTTCAGTTTTCTGCTTTTTGCTATCAGAGGAGTAGTCTGTGGAGTTTCTGTGCTTCTCGGCACCTCGGAAACTGGCTGACGGGGATACCGAAGAGCTCTGGAATTAGAAAAGAAAGCAGGATTGAGAAATGACCACCCACTTAACCGTGGGTTTTTCAGGCTTCATGTCCTTTCCGTTCGTTAGTGCACACTTGCAAAACTGTTAGGAGGAGAAAGGAGGAGGTAAAAGGAAGAGGGCAACAGAGGTGGAGACAGAAAACCAGGAAAAACAGGAAAAGGGAATGAGGGGAGAAGAGGAACAAACAGGAAAGAAGAAATAGAGACAGGACCAGAGAGGGAGCCAAGGAATAAAAAAGGAGGCAAGGAACAGCAAATTCAGAAGACAGAATGGGTCTGGTCCCAAGGAGATGTAGATTACACTGGTGAAGCAGCTTCAAAGAGGTGAGGAAGGAAGCAGAGAGAAGAGAAAATGGAAGGAAGGAAAAGGCAAGCCCCACCCCCCTCCGGCCCCAAGTTTGCTGGCTGATGGGAAGGCAGTAACTTAAGCTTGTACAGAGACACTGAATATGTTAGAGTCTGTCTTGAGAAAAACTAGTAATTCTTCAAAGAAAAAGGGAAGACAGGTACTCTTTGGGAATTTAAGTAACCCCCAAATGGTGATCATGTGACACAAAGGTCCTATCTACGGAATTTTGCTAAGTCCCTTGTTTTAAGGGCATGGAAGATTCAGAGTGGCAAATAAAAATAACAAAAACCAAACACCTGCAAAAATTCACTTTATTCCTTTCTGACTCTGACAGTTTTCATGAGCTGCTCTCTTTTATCTCTGGAAACCCTGGAACCCCCATTAGGACCAGGTAACTGGGAAAGATAGTCCCTCCCTCTTGGGATCACAGTCAGAGCAGGCCATACAGGCTCAGGCAATGTTCATCATCTCTGCTCTTCCAAAGAGCTCCCAACTGGAGGAGGCCTACACGCCGAAAATAAACACTGAAGCACAGAGAATGCGTCTGTCTGCCATTGAGGCCAGGGGGATTACTACTGGGCACACTGAAACAGTATGAGAGCTTAAAATCATTTATGAGGAAGTGAAGAAAGCGTCAATGAAAACTGGAAGCAACCTTATGAATTGGCTAGTGACTCAGTTCCAGACAGACCAAACACGAGCCAACTCAACATTAAGGTGAGGTGTGAGAGAGGGAGCAGGGCTGACCTGTGGAGGGTGGGTCATAAAGGCCAGAAAAGCCAAGCCCCTCAGCAGGGCACCAGCGCAGGGCTCTGAGTGCTAAATTAACCCAGGCTGGGCAGTGGAAAGAACATCTGGAGAGGAGAAAACAAATTCTAGGAAGAACAAAGAATCACCACCAGAATCTCTCTTTGCCTTGCATCTAAATCAATTCAGGAAACTGTTCCATAAAGCTCTTCCTCATTGATAACTTTATTCTTCTCATATAAAACTAACCCCTTGTACCTTTTTTCCCTTTATCCTAAGTCTGATGGTAATAATTAACATTTATGAAGATACACAACATTTACAAGGGCTTTTAAATTAACTATGAGAGGCAGCGTGATATCCAGAACTGTTGGCTCTATATCCCATTTCACTTCCATTGACCCTTAATGCCACGTTTTCTTTTGTGACTAAACTTTTGAAGCCTGTTGTTAAGAGGAAAAACAATGAACTTTTTTTTCCCATGCCTGGGTCAGTATCACTACCAAGACATCACCCCCTAGTGGTCCGCTGTGGTGATGGCAACTCCACCACTAGCTCCAAAGGCAGGAAGGAGGGATAGGAATTTGGTGTCAGGGGAAGATGGGAGGAAGGACAAGTGAGTGGGTTCCCAATGAGAGGGGTGGGTATCTCTAAACCCTTCCTTCCTGTATCATTCTCTCTCAGAGTCTTCAATGAATACTCTAGATCGGAGGCACCAAACCCTGAAACTATCCCTACTCATTCACCCTTAAGCTTAATAGCAAAAAAGATGGCAGACGTCATTCAGTAAGGCCAAAGACCAAAGTAAAACATTAGAAGCCAAACAATTTTTAAAATTGGACAGCTTCTTCATGTATCTCTGCTGAGTTCCAATCCTCATTCCCAAGCCAACGTCATGACCAGGTTTTTTTTGTGACCATTACTCCATCAAAATCATGCTTGCAAATATCATCTGTGAGCCGCGACCTACCATATTTGATTGATGTCAGAACCCCCTATCTAGTTCCCCCCTCCTCCGGTCTATTCTCCACATTTCTAGGGTTCATATTTCCCAAAGAGAGATTTGACCACTTCTCACTCTTCTTTAAAAACCACCAACAGTTTCCCCACTGTCCTTAAGGGAAAAAGTCCAAATATTTCTGCACGTGGCCGTTTCCAAAGCCCTTCCCTCCACGCCCTAACCCAGGGCCCTGGCCTTAGAGCTCAGCGCTATGAGCTTGTTGTCCAGTGCTCTGTGCATTTTCATTGTATCTGTAGCCTTTTTTTCCTGGCTTATGAGAATGCCCATTTCCCCTCAGTATCTTTTTGTTGAAATCCTTATTCTTAAGGACCAGCTCTAATGTCACCTTTTAAAGCTCACTCAGACGCTGTCAAGCAGAATTAATCACTCAATTCTTCTTTGTTCCCTTAACACTTTGTTCACCCCGTGAGTAGAGCACTCGCAATCAATATGTGGCTATTTGTTTACAAGGCCACTTCCCACTACAGGCTGTGGGTTACCTGGGGTGGGGCCCCCGGCACAGTGAGCAGCAGAAAACTGCCCAGAAATGTTTTTGAACATAAATGAGCAAACATCCCCTTTGCGCTCCTCAATCTTAACCTAAAATTCATACGATACATTCCCTTTCAGAAGACCACTAGGCTGAATGGTTTACAAAGAAACCATTCATTACAGTAAGACTGGAGTAGTGCCACCCCTGGGAATTAGCAGCGCAACCATCGTGTCTCTTCCTCCCCCCTACTCCTCTACCTACTTCCACATGCCTTTGTCCTACTCATTTGCCATTTTACAAAAGGAAGAAAAAATTGTATGTTTGTGATTAACAACAATCTGAGCCTTTTGATTCTGAGATACTCTACTCAAAGTTACCTCCACTTTGTCCAAAAGGAAAAACTGATTTTTAAACCATTATAAAATACTTTCTTAAAAATTACCACTAAATGGTAATGCTTATTTATTTAGATCTTTATGCTTATTTATTGATACACATGTACAAACAAGCTAGCTTTACTTTTCTTAACTGGCTGTTTCTGGCTCTGTGGGCAGTATTTTACTTGTGAAATTTTACTGCAGAATAGGGTCATATGTTGAAGTTTCCCGGTAGAATGATAAAGTAGTTAATTATCACTAGCATTTAAAGGTTAAGCTACACAATGGGCAATGGGGCAATCAGCAATGTTCTAATAACATAATTGCTCTGGAATCAAATTGGACTTGGCACAGACTCTCATCATGAATCTTACAAGTCCACCATTGAGCCACTGGAAGGCCACCTGGATTTTTGCTGAGCATGTGAACAGGAGGAATTAAGTAAATACTTTTAAAGACAAAGTCCGGTTCTACTAGAAAATATTTTTATTTCTCTATCATTATTTTAAAAGCTTACCTAGGTTAGATATTTCCCTAGCTTACTACACAGGAAACTTAACTGGAGCTGCATCATGACTGTGAATAAATCTACAAACGAAGTAACGTTTTCTCATTACAGATTGATCATGTGACTATATTGGCGAATTCGTTAAGAATGGAGGGCCGTAACAATCAGAAAAATGAAGGGGGGGAAATCGGAGAGGGAGACGAACCATGAAAGACTATGGACTCTGAGAAACAAACTGAGGGTTCTAGAGGGGAGGGGGGTGGGAGGATGGGTTAGCCTGGTGATGGGTATTAAGGAGGGCACGTTCTGCATGGGGCACTGGGTGTTATACGCAAACAATGAATCACGGAACACTACATCAAAAACTAATGATGTAATGTATGGTGATTAACATAACAAAAAAAAGCAGTGGCCGATCAAGACAAGGCAAAAGCCCTTAAATGTGAATGTTTACTAGAAAACTCTGTATTTTTAAAAATGAAACACATCATTGGGATAGTAAAAAGAACAAAGTAGATGTTTAATGAAAGACAATAAGGGGGGAGAGCAAGGACAAACTAGGGGAAAAATACTAAAAATTTGTTAAGCCTTATTATATGGAAATCCCAATTGCTTTGAAAGCAAAAGATAAGCTTTAAAAGAGTTACTCTTAACATTACAAATCATATTTCATCTCCAAATGAGAAAATTCTAGATCCTGGTTTGAAACCCAACCAAGACTTTACTAAGGTTATTGACCAAGTCAGACTAAACACGGAGACCTCCCGCAATTGAAGTGGATGGCCCCACCCTTTCACCTTTACTCCTCTGCCACCTCAAGATCAAAGATGACCATGTATGACAAAGAGTTCTATAAAGTACACCCCCCCCACAAAAACAAAGGGTACTGTTGTTACAATTAGCTAGTTTTAATAACAGGTAGCACAGATTTTACTAGCAGGCAATAGCATCTGTCTGGAGTCAGACTGCCTGTCTGGATTTGAGTCTAGAGTTTTCCACTTAATAGCTGTGTAGCCTTGGGGATATTGCTCAGTCTCAGTCTCTGTAGTCTGGGACAAGAACACCCCGCCCACTCTCCCTCCCTGGGCTGCTTTGAGGACTAGGTGAAAGAATCTCCATAAAGTAGTACGAGGCACAGTCCCAGACAGATAACCGAGCCCCTCTGCAACGGCAACTCAGCACTGGGGCTGCACTGCACGCTATTTACTACAGAGCTAGTGTGGCTCTTCTATTTTAAGCCTCACATAAGGGCTATTCTCGGCTTCTGTGTAGCACTACCCCTCAGCACAGATATACAGATGGTCCATAATGATGGGTTTCAATAGGCTGCTATTAACCAAAACACATCTCCTTTAAACACAATAAGGTTTTGGTTCAATACTGCAGGCAGGACTATAAATACCACCTCCATATCGGACTTTCTAATTTGATTTCAAATGCACATCAAGCTAATTCTGCTTGCCATCCGTGTAAGTTCATATGTCCCTGCCCACTTACAAGATTCCA